GCAGGATGAGTCTGAGTGTCAAGTGCCTCTTATATCACCTTTGGCTCCCTAGAAAGAAAGATGCCCAGCATTGTTGTGTATTCAGCCACATTCTCATTGATTCTGTCTCCTTCTCTGCTCCAGGGAGACCAAACAAACGGATTGTAGGAACGATGCAAGGTGGAGACACAGAGGACGATGTAAGTAGTTGCTAAAGACGCTATTGGCAAAAAGGTGCTTTTTCCATGGCATACCTTCTCATTCCGCAGCAGGTAGCCTGTCTCTTCAGTTTCCCCTGCCTTATTTCACTTTCTGTTTCTGTCTCCCCCACTTTCCTCAAAAGCTCTTGCATCTTCCTCATCTCATCTCTTCTCTTCGCTGTAGGTCTCTTTCTCTTCTTCCTAGTGCAGCCACTTCTTTGCCTTTTCCTGCTGTTCTTGCGATTAAGTTAGGTAAGCAGAGCAGCAGACTGGCAAGCGATGCTTCTCAGAGGTCTGTCTGTCTCTCCCCCTCCCTCCCTCCCTCCCCCCCCCTCTCTGGGGACAGAGACTCCTTTTGTGATCACGTCATCACTATCGTTTCTTTTGCCTTCAAAATTTATCATACGGCGCCTGGTAATTTTACTGTTGCTAAAAGCATTAAGCACTTTACAATAGATAAAGACAGATCTTGATTGACGGGGATGTTAATTGGTCTTTGCGGAACCTGTGCTGCTACTACCCCAGTGGGACAGATGAAAGTGACGAGGAGCATGTGGCCGCTGGCAGCTCTGTTTTTTCTGTCTGTCCTCCTAGTAACATTTTGCTAAAGAAAATGACATCTAAGAAAATACATGACCGCACCATGCTCAATGCTTTTCTGCTTCCCTCCCCCCACTCACGTGCCATGTCATTGGTGCAACTTGCAGAGGACAAGGAAGGCCTAGCTGCCTTGCTGATAGGTTCCAGGTCATTCATACCTAAGCATTACTGTGGTGATATCAGGGCCCACCATTAAGCCCCATCAGGATGGCAGGCACAAGAAACAGGGCCTTTTCAGTGGTGGCTCTATCCCTGCTGAATTGCTCACCCTCTTTGCACAGGATCTCCCTCTAGTTATTTTCAAATGTGCTTTAAACTGCTCTCAAAAGAATTTGGTTGTTTGTCTATATCATGTAAACTGCTGCTCCTTTTATAACTTAAAATTAATTGCTTTGGGCTAGATATTTGTTTTTATTTTAGTTATGAACTGCCTTATGAGAGTCTTTGGCCTGGGACGGGGGCTAAAAATTAAATAATTTGTAGCTTAGGCCTGAGTCCCATTGAAATAAATAAATATCTAACTGCAATTTAACTCTCTTTTATGTCCCTCTGCTTTCAGTGGGATTTGGCCATCCTAAGATCTGCAAGATTTCACTATGTGTGTTTAATATCAGGGTGTTTCTTCCCAGCAGAATGTTTTTGAGTACTTTCTGACTAAGAAAACCTTTTGTCTCTAAAGCAATTTGCCACTAAAGCTTGGGCTTCTCTTAAGACTGTCATTTTTATTCATGTAGGAGCCAAGCTCCTGGGCTCTTCCCCTTGGGACAGACTACCCTCCCTGGTTAGAAACTGCTGCTTGTGTTTTGAATATGCATTGTTCAGGTCAGCCTGAAGTCATTGCACGGATGCAGGAAATACTAAAGCATTTGCACTTCCTGTGTGAAAACCAGGTTTACTGAATTGGAGCTGCCACACGAAGGCCTCCTTTGAATGGCTCAGGGTGGCGACTCCTCACTTGAAGTAGACAAAGAAGCTGTGTTTGTTTGGATAGCTGTTTTAAATTGTGGTGTTAGGTTTAAAGTGTTGTTGCAACTTGGTTTGTTCTTCTGTTGGTTGTTGTTTTTTTAATTATGACTGCATCACGGTGGCAGAGAAGGCAGATATGAAATTGGTCTTGCATGTGCCAAGGCCAGCAGTGGACAGTGGCATACCCCACATAGGGGAGTGATTTTTCTCAGAATTCCATCAGTTCTCTTGTGGCACACTAATGTGCCCCTAACCCTGTTTGAACATTTCTGCCCTAGCCTCAGAATAAGCAGCTGCCCTTAAACAGTTTATGGCAGGATAACAGCCACACAGAGCTTGGGCTATAATTTGGAGCAGATTCCCTCAAAAAGTGGTGAACTTCCTTGGAGGTCTTTAAGCAGAGATTGGATGGTCATCTGCCAGAGATTTTTTTAGCTGTGATTCTTGCATTGCTGGGGGCTCGACTAGATGACCCTTGGGGTCCCTTCCAATCCTACAGTGATTCTAAACAAGCGATCAGCCCCTTCTCGCAGCCTGTATTGTGGTCAAGCAGATTCCTGGCACCTCTAAGGAAACTTGGGTCACATCAACACCACACATTTAAAGCACTCTCATACGACTTAAACAAACACGATTTTCTCCCCCCAAAAAATTTGAAACTCGCAACTGCCTCATTGGGGCAAGACCTACTGGAAAGAGATGCTGTGATCACTAGACCTGAGCTGTTTGGGTTTCTTTGAATAAAGAGTTAACTTCACTGACACTTGGTGTTTTATTGCTGACCTGCTCCTGACACCTAACTACAGTGGTACCTCGGGTTACATACACTTCAGGTTACAGACTCCGCTAACCCAGAAATAGTGCTTCAGGTTAAGAACTTTGCTTCAGGATGAGAACAGAAATTGTGTTCCGGTGGCGCGGCGGCAGCGGGAGGCCCCATTAGCTAAAGTGGTGCTTCAGGTTAAGAGCAGTTTCAGGTTAAGAACAGGCCTCCAGAATGAATTAAGTTCTTAACCCGAGGTACCACTGTACTCTCAGCATAGACTACCATTCCCGGGATTCTTTGAGGAACGCCGTAGCTGTCAAAGTGGAATAAGTGCTTTAAATGTATGGTGTGGGTGTGGTCTCTTTGGTGCCACTGAGAGGGGGGCTGTACCCTGTCAACCTGCCCTGCTTAAATTCTCTGCAGGCAGGCAGCTGTCCCACCCCACCCAGTTGTGCCGCTCACCTGTCGTCTTCTCCTCCCTCCTTCCCTTGGAGACTCTGCCCCCTCTCCCCAGTGCCTCTTTCACTCCCATTCATTTTTGCAGTATTGGCTGGTTTCATTTCTCTCTCTCTCCTAATTTTTCCCCTTTCTGCTTCCATCTCGCGTTGCCTCTGCGCGCTGCTGCTCCCTCTTCCAAGGTCGGGGCAGCCAGAGCCCAAGCCAGTAAGCGCAAAGTCTCCAGAGCCAAGGCTAAGGTGGGTGTGACTCCTGTCTGCAGTGCTTTTGCCTCCACTTGCCAGGGCCCACACACACACAGCTCTGGTGGTGCACAGCCTTCCTTCCCTGCAGCTTCTTTAGCAATTTTCAGCCATCGGTAGCACTCAGTGAAAAGAGTGAATAATGATGAGATGCATAGTGGCATATGGAGTTTACACAAACAGTCAGGAGAGGCCTCAAAAATGTTTTGGCCTGTGTTCTCAGATATCAAGGGAGAGGCAAGGGCAGTATTTTAAAAGACAGATCTTGGTTGGAAGCCATGCCAGAGCTATTTGTTTTGGGGAAAGCAAAACACTCTGCGCATGCTCAGCTATATACTTTATTGTACAATATTCCTATCTGTTACTTTAAAGGAGGGGCATGGTCAAAATGGAAAGGCAACTCATGCAAGCTGCTGCCACGTGATTTTCTTCAAATCTCTTTTCCCGCCACAGCTCCCCCTCATGGAACATGGAAGAGGCTTGTGTGGTGGAACGCAATAATTGATGTCCTTCCTCACACAGCACCTCATGGCAATTGCTCCAATAAGATGCTGTGAGGGCCATCCATGGCTATTAGCCCTGGTAGCTGGATGTTCCAGCTGCCGTGTCAGAGGCAGCATGTCTCTGAATACTGGTTACTGTTGCCCCCAGTTTCTGCTTGATGACTTCCCACTGGAGCATCTGACTGGCTACTGCGAGAGCAGGAGGACAGACTAGATGGGCCTTTGGCCTGACCCAGCAAGGCTCTTCTTGTGATCTTAACCATATCAATTTTAGCTGATTAATTGACAAATATTTTAAATTGAGTAACAGCCTTGTTATTAATAATGATAAGCTCTTTTAGTGGTTTAAGTCTAATAGTTTCTCACATTGAGCCTTCAAGACAGGGCAGATTTTTAAAAAAAAAACCAAATAATAAATTACATATTTTTACAGGAGGACACTGAAGATAGTGAAATTGATTTGGATGACGACGACGATGATGATGACGACGACCTGGAAGACGACAGCATGGATCTCTCTCCCAACAAGGCAAGTCGGAGGGTGAGGAAGCCCGAGCCCCTGGAGGAGAGTGATAATGACTTTTGAGCAGCCGGGTCATCTCCAGAGACAAACCTTGAGGAGCACAGAGAAGCTAAAATGTTGACCCACATGACTCTGACAGGATGTACTCTATAGGGTAAGGCAACCTTGATACCAGTGAAAAGAGTACCAAAGTAGTAATATATATTGGAACTCAAAGTAGCTTAGCTCTTTTGCTGTTGTCAGTTCATGAGCAAGGAAAGAACACTTACATTCGGGGAGCTGTCATGTCACGCTCCATGGTGCCAAAGTTTTAAGAGACCCAGCAACACACACACACAATCCAGCAACACAAAGCAGTTTAGACTCCTGCAAGATTCCTGGTATCTTTTTGATACAAACATGAATCTGGAATTGTTTCAAAGGACAATTCAGGATAAATTAACAGCTGGGCTTCAGATTGAATTCTGAACTATCATCCCAAGTGCCTCACTACCCTTGACAGAAGAAAATGAATTCTGTCTTTTGCCAAGAACAAAGGAATATTGGAGCCCCAGCAAATGTTTCCATCACTTTTACCAAAACTGACAAGGCAGGAAAGGAGCCCACAATTAGTTTGGGGCTCTGCTTCGTCTCTAATTTACCCCTTTGCTATATGAGCACATATAAAGCACTGTCATATTGGGATAAAAGAAGCTCTAAGAATGATAATATCTCCAACCTCATTATTTAATACCAAGTCCTTGCCCACACATGTCCATGCTAATGTAAAACCAGGTATCAGTTTGGTTTTCCTAAGCAACTTTTCATTTTTTTAAAAAAAACCTCATTTAGTAGAAATACAAGTTTTATTTTGTTTTTCTCCCCTTATTCTGGGCCAGTAAGTTTCTAGGCACTGAACAGGCTTGACTGAATACTTTCCTCTTGTCACAAGCCACACAGTGCTACCAGTCTCAAAATGCCTCTGTGTATAATTTTATTTTCAGAGGATAAATGAAAAATATTTTATAGATTCAATCCCCTAACAGTGGCAGGTATCACCTGTTGTGCTAGTTCTGTGTTGAGGATTCCTCAGTTCCTTATGCCTTGCAAGTTGTATGTATTTTCCAGACTCGCTCTGAACCTCTTTGACTTTTACATTCATTCCCTCGTTTCACAAAATAAACGACTTTACAATCTGGTTTCTTCTTGTGGTGTCAACTGCTTTCAGTTTATCAGGAAGGCACAAACCACTGCTGCAGATGCCCCACAAAATGTCTGAAGCACCGAACCACCTTCACCAGCAGGAACAAATGTCCAGAATGAAAATGACAAGGTTTGTCATCCTCTTCCGCAACTGCCTTCAGCTCAGGCCACGTCCCCACTTAGTACCATCCATTGCAGCATCCTGGCGATCTGCCTTTGCACCACATCCTTGTCAGTGAGCCATTTGTGAGGAAGGGACATGTCTCCAGGGCGCAGGATGTCTGGAATCCCAGAGCACCTCCTCCAGGGAAGTTTCTCTTTCACATCTCCACAATGCAGCTGGGGGCATTTGTACGGATGGCATCAGCAATCACCTTGGCTCCTGATTCACCTATTTTGTTTCCCTGTAAGCTGTAGAGGGAAGACAAAGGGTTGACTCTTAATGCAGCATCACTGTCTGTGCACTGCTCACAGTCTGAGCAGTAATTGCAATTTTCTCACATGTCAGAATCACAAAAAAAAGAAGCTCTGAGCAGGGTGAGGGGTTGAATGGCTTTCCCTGTTGCACATGACTTTGTTAGGTTTCTTGAACCAGTTGGAGCTTTTGCTCAATGGGCAACTTAATCAAGTGGTGGCTGTTGTGCTTGTGCCCTAAAGGTCTGGACTGTGGAAGCTACGGAGGGTGGGCACTCCTGATTTGTGACAGATTTGGACCAGAGTGCTTTCCAACCAATTAATATCTAAAAGCTTGGATACAGGGAAGCAGTGGGGCTAGGGAAGACAGCTAATGCATTTTGGTTGCCAAGCCATGGTCAATATTTAGCCAGTCTCAACCCCACAGGAAAAGTTTTTAGGTTGGGATTGTCCTCCAGGCCCACAAAACAGCAGGTAACTCTTAACTCCTTTGCTGAATATTCAGGAGCTAATCACTATTACAACAAAGAAGTAAAATTAACTGCTTGGGTCCATCATACAGCTGTCAGCCTAGGATGCCTATCCCTCCTCCTGAAATCTGCCCTGGCTCCGACATCCAGCTTTATAAGTCCTTTGTGTTTTTCTTTCAGTAGGAAAAGAGGGAAGGGGCAGGTTGGCTCCTGCGGGAGAAGGGCCAAGGAGTGGTAGCTATAAAAGAAAAGTAACTAGGGCAGAGGGACGCGGGTGGCGCTGTGGTCTAAACCCCAGAGCCTAGGGCTTGCTGATCAGAAGGTCAGCAGTTCAAATCCCCATGACGGGGTGAGCTCCCATTGCTCGGTCCCTGCTCCTGCCCACCTAGCAGTTCGAAAGCACGTCAAAGTGCAAGTAGTTAAATAGGTACTGCTCTGGCGGGATGGTAAATGGCATTTCCGTGCGCTGCTCTGATTCGCCAGAAGCGACTTAGTCATGCTGGCCACATGACCCAGAAGCTCTCTGCAGACAAATGCCGGCTCCCTTGGCCTATAGAGTGAAATGAGCACCCAACCCCAGAGTCATTTGCGACTGGACCTAGCGGTCAGGGGTACCTTTACCTAACTAGGGAAGGGCACCCTCTCCTCACTGTGCTTCCTGCACATCTCCACTCTGGCTCCTGAGATTAAACCAGATACTGATCCATATGTTTTCAAGCTTCTCTGCCATAAATGGGCTGGAAACTTCTTTTCAAAAAAGCTTAGGATCTCAGGAAGGAGAGTTCTGCTTCCATGGTACATCCATTAATGTATGGAATGCAATGTTCGTGATTAAGTAGCAAGTTCTGTTGCACCCCGGCCAGCCATCCCTGCCAAATCCTGTGAGGTCTGGGTATGAAATGGCTTTGACACACACTTTTTTAGACCAAGAGCATTGAAAAGTAAGTTACTTGATGTAGGCGAGGCTGTGGCTTCCAGTCAGAGCTGTGGCAATGCAGATTGCTCCGTCCATGCCCAGGGAGTTCTCTTGGAGGCTGTGGGCAAGAGAACATGGGCATATGGAATCCATTATGCACAGGCACACACACACAGTGTCTGCTCCAGCTTTGTTTCACTTCCCCCAGAAAAGTGTAAAGTAACATCTGCCTGGCCGTTATCTACAATAGGGTAAGTTCCAGCCCACAGCCCAGATGAAGCCCACAAAGCCATTTCCTCTGCAGCCCACCCCCTCCTCCCAATATGCAGCCTTTAGGCTTGATTTTTTATTTTTTTTAGGCAATAACTTCCATTAGTTTTTTTAAAAAATAAAACACTAATTGCCACATGGTATTTTTGGTGGGGTTCATAGCTGGGTCAAACCTCGTGAGCTCTGATTCCCCCTGTCAAAATGTAGCAGTCGGCTTTGGAAACATATCTCCTATTGGCTTCAAGGGGAGACCATTTTCTAGCCTAATCGTTTGGGCTATTCGTGGAGATTATGGCTGCCGATGGAAGGGCTCGCCGTCCCCTGCCTGTGTGCTGCAACACCTCCACCAGCACATTCCTCAGCCCCCACAATTAAACTTGACAAAAGTGCCACTCCTCCCTGCCCCAGCCAAGCCTAACTGCTTCTGTGTGGGGAAAGAATGAGTGAATGTGTTAAGTGTGCATGAATGCATATGGGTAGATTGGGGGGTGTCATGCCCACCCAGTTTTGCACTGACCACCAGAAAGTCAGCCAGAAGAGATTGTAGCCCTCAAGCCGAAAAAGGTTCCCCACTCAAAAGCAGTGCTTAAAAGACTAGTTGTCCCCCCAAATACTGTTTTGTATTGCTAGCTTCCTCAAGCATTAGAAAGGTTCAGGAGAGCTTTTCACAGGGTCAGCTGTCTTACAGGAATAAATGCCTGGAGATCTGTGGTGATGGCTTCACAATGCTGTATCTATTTATAAATACACTACACGAGCAGCCTGGCACCTAGTCAGGTGGTTCTAGCCTTGTATCAGTCACTCCAGTAGCAACAACAGACCTTTGCAGCTTTTCAAGGTGATTTTTGCCATCTGGGTGCAAAACCCAGGCTTTGGGGGAAGGGGGTGGTTTGCTCTGCCTGGAATTCCACTGCAAAACTCTTATTTCTTTTAGCCCTAACCCAAGCAGGATACGTATAGCACACATTTTATTGGTTCAGAATTAGCCACCAACCACACATGACCATTAAACAAGCACTTTCAGCCATTATGCAAACCCAAAGGCCATCTCTTGACACTCTTGAATGACAGAATGACCCCATCTGTATCCTGTCCATTATTTTACTTACTTCAGCCTGCGGAGGGCGCCATTAACTTTCAAGGCATTGGCCATTGCCTTGGCCCCTGCCAAACCGATGGCGTTTCCTCTCAAGCTGTCAAAGAAACAAGGAAGATAAATTAAGGCCAGGTATTCAGTTTGATAGTTTTAAAGCTATGGTTTTCCCAGTAGTGATGTATGGAAGTGAGAGCTGGACCATAAAGAAGGCTGATTGCCGAAGAATTGTTGCTTTTGAATTATGGTGCTGGAGGAGACTCTTGAGAGTCCCATGGACCGCAAGAAGATCAAATCTATCCATTCTGAAGGAAATCAGCCCTGAGTGCTCACTGGAAGGACAGATCGTGAAGCTGAGGCTCCAATACTTTGGCCACCTCATGAGAAGAGAAGACTCCCTGGAAAAGACCCTGATGTTGGGAAAGATGGAGGGCACAAGGAGAAGGGGATGACAGAGGACGAGATGGTTGGGCAGTGTTCTCGAAGCTACCAGCATGAGTTTGACCAAACTGTGGGACGCAGTGGAAGACTGGAGTGCCTGGTGTGCTCTGGTCCATGGGGTCACGAAGAGTCGGACATGATTAAACGACTAAACAACAACATTCAGTTTGATGCTGAAATGAAGCCACAATTCCACAAAGCCAGAAGAGTCTTGCTGAATTCCAGGTGGGCCACTGGCTGCACTAACTGGCCAAGTTCTGTGATGGCACCATTAAACTTATAATTCCCCCACCCTCTCCTGGATGAACATAGGGTCTGAGGAGTACTTACTCTAGTGTCGTGAGGCTCTTGTTAAGAACCAGGGCGTCTCCTAGAGCTTTGGCCCCACTCTCACCTATCAGCGCCACCTGGAGGCTGCAACAAAACAGGGCACATTTAGAACAAACTCAAGGTAGCACCACCAAGTTGTGCCAAGGACACTCAAGCAGTGCTGTAAGGGTCAGCCCTACCATTAGGCAAAGGGAGGCAACCACTTCAGGCAGCTCATGTCGGCTGTTCTGAAAGGACAGCAAATAGTTATTCAATTTATTATTGTTGCATTTTTACAGCCAGGAAAGGGGGCAGATGCTAATGGGATTGTCTGCCTTAGATGCCAAAGAAACTCTGGCTGTGGATGTTGTGTTCTTCAGCGGCATAGCCAGTGTCGCGTCCTCCGGATGTTGTTGGCTCCCATCAGTCCCAGCCAGCAATAAGTGGAGTTGTAATCCAACAGTAACTGGAGGACATCATGTTGGCTCTCCCTGATGTACCTTGACCAAGTGCTGCTGCTTTTTGCTTCTCTGCCTCAGGCAGAAATATAGCTTGGGGCACCCTTGAGTGCTGAAAGGCCTCCCCCCGCCTTGCCTTGTGTTCCTTTCACCTGAAATGGCTGGTACAGTGGTACCTCGGGTTACATACGCTTCAGGTTACACACTCCGCTAACCCAGAAATAGTGCTTCAGGTTAAGAACTTTGCTTCAGGATGAGAACAGAAATCGTGCTCTGGCGGCGCGGCAGCAGCAGGAGGCCCCATTAGCTAAAGTGGTGCTTCAGGTTAAGAACAGTTTCAGGTTAAGTATGGACCTCCGGAACGAAATAAGTACTTAACCCGAGGTACCACTGTATATATAACTTCCTTCCGCAGGGCCTGTAAGACGGAGCTATTCCGCCTGGCTTTCAACTTGAGCTTAGCTTGATCTTTTATTCCCCTTCCTTCCCTCCCCCTCCCCGTTTTATGAAGATTACTCGCTCTGGGATCCCACAGCTAATTCTCCCCTGGTCTCCATGCTGGCCCAAATAGGACTAATTTAGCCCTGGTGATCATCTAATGTTTATTGGATTGATTTCCCCCCTAAATTAATTTTTGAATTCTGAATTTATTGTTATTCATGTTTTATACTGTATTTTATGCTGTTTTTTGTTGCATTAATTAAGTGTTTTAAATTTGTTGTTAGTCGCCCTGAGCCCAGTTTTTGAACTGGGAAGGGCAGGGTATAAATAAAAAATTATTATTATTATTATTTATTTATTAATTAGTAGTAGTAGTAGTGGTGGTAGTAGTAGTAGTAAGTGCTTCTGAGAGGTAGGAGAAATGAAGGTGGGCTTGGGTTGGCTTTTAGTTTTAGGAAGTTCTGGCTGGGAACAGGCCTTGGACTCAGCTCCCATCTTAAGAACATCAGAAGAGGCTTCTGGATCAGGCCAGTGGTCCATCTAGTCCAGCATCCTGTTCTCACAGTGGCCAGCTAGATGCCTATGGGAAGTCCAAAAGCAGGAACCGAGCACAAGAGGACTTTCCTCCCCTGTAACTGGTATATTCACATTTTTGAAGGTGTCCTGCACCATTCAGCCACCCAAGCAGAAGGCAAGCAGGAAGACAGGGCTGAGACCCTCTGAATGTTGCTGAACTCCAGCTCCCATCAGCCCCAGCCAGCATAGCCAATGGTCACAGATTATGAAAGTTGTAGTCCAACAATATACAGAGGGCCACAGCTTCCCCATCTCTTAACATTCACAGTTTACTTTCTGGGTTTTTAAACCAATAGCTTGGTTATTGAGCCTTTCCACATTCCTCTCTGCATGGTCATTCTGGATTCCATGGTGGCATCAGCCACTGAATGTGCTGTTCAGGAAGTCCCTTGTGCCCTCTGCAGCCCTCCTAGTCCATCCCTACATTCACTAAGGGCATGTGGCCCAAGCAGCCATACACAACAGTATATGGGCCAGATACAGCTTAAGAGGCCAGCAGTTGCTGACCCCCTCCATGAGTCTTGCCTCTTGATAAATCCCCTAACAGGTATTCCATCCTTGTGTATAACATGGAAACTTACTAGAGAGCAGTGAGTGTTGAGTTCACCCTCAGAGCAGAGGCCAGGGCATCTGTTCCTTCGTCCCCAATTGCATTTTCCTGTAAACTGAAACACAGCGGAGGCAAGGCTTTTGGTCTTTTAAAAATACTCTTCCACATTTTTAACATTAAAAAACCTTCCCTACACTTTGAGAAGAAGAAAGAGTTTAGCAAGAGCTCCATGTTGGGAGTTTTTGATTATTTGCTCAGGGGTGTGTCGGCGGGAGATTTAAAAAATATGACAAACACACCCTACTTGCATTCTGAAGTGGCGTAGTCCTCATTCCATATAAGGTGCAGCTCTAAGAAGCCCCGAGAGAGCTAAATTTTTGTGGGCACCCCCCTGAAAATGCTTACAGAGCTCAACTCCAATGAACCATTTCTATAACTTCCCCGCCCTTAATCTTGAGGGTTATAGTTACGACAGGAACAGATTATTATTTATGGCAAATTCCCAGGGAACTGTTTCACAGAACTGTAATTCCCAGAGATCCAGGTTAAAAGCTATAGCAGCTAAACAGGTTTGAAATGAGTTTAGATTTGCAGAATGAATGTAACAAATGTGACACTTCTTAGAAGGAATTGATCAGAACATTGTATTATCCCTAACAATGTTACTCTCTTCAGTAGTTTTGTCTCCAGTAGCTTGAAATAAACACTTATTTACTTACTTACTTACTTACTTACTTACTTAGGTACTTATTTTTACAAGCCGGAGAAATGTTACACTTATGTGCAAAAAGTTACACACACACACACAACACACACACTCAGAAGCAGCAGGAGCCTCCCTTTTCCATCGCATGATAAAATTACCTGTGATCCTCGTACTAAATAAAACAAATGTTTATATGGGTGAACATACAATTCTGGTCACCCTACATGTTCTAAAGTGGTACTGACTGTCCCATCACCTCCAGATTCTCATCCTGCTGCTTAAATGTGCCAAAAGTGATTTGTTTCCTTTAACGCAAAAACTGCTCACGCTATTGAGGCTGAGTGGGAGGCAAAAGTCAGGGACTTACTCCAAGATAGAAAGACTCTCGTTGACTTGCAGGGCTTGGCTCAGGGCCTTGGCTGCTTTGGACTGGATGAAATTCCACTGCAAGCTAGAAGGAGAGAGAAGGAGAAAAGGAATGAGGACCCAACCGCACATTCCCGCCTGGTACAGCCCTTCCTAGACTGTACCACTTCAGCATATAAGCAGGGAGGGGCCAACTTGGAACCAGTTTACCTACAAGATCACCTTGCCTAATATACACCCATCTGACTGATTTGATTGGTGGAACTGGGGCTGTTACAGGTGCCAGCCACATAATGCTCATTCTGAAAAATAATGCCAACATCTAGGCAACAATCTCAGATTACAGCAGCCAGTTCCAAATCTTTGAGACACCGCTTTCCAAAAGCCTGAACAATCCTGTTTCAACTCTTTGGATGCATTTATGCTCGAGCAATGCAGACTAATCCGCTGAAACTCACTGCAGGGAAGTGAGCGCTTGGTTCTCCTTCAGTGCCAATGCAATGGCCTGGACACCTTCGTCATGCAGCAGGTTGGCAGCCAAGCTAGAAAAAAAAAGCCCAGGGAAAATGAGAGTTAAAGCAATGCAGAGCTGGTTGCAAGAGCTGGTTGGCTGGTTCCAATTAATACATGAAACCAGGCCTTGCCGCTTTGGCCTCAACCCCATCAGTCCCCAAAAGTCTTATCCTGCTTCTAGAGCAGGGGTAGGGAGCCTCAGCTTTGAGGTGGCCCTCCAGACCTCTCTATCTGGCCCTTGGGACTCTGACCAGGCCAAGCCCACAACTGGTCCTGCCATGCACCCTCCTTCGGTGTTTTTGCCAGGCTGGAATATGCCCTTGGACTATCACCATGTTTCCAGATTGCCTGGAGGTTGGAGAGAGATCGGGGGATGTGTGAGTGATGGGACAAGCTAGCTTACAGTACAAAAAGTCACATTTACTGATTAATATTCTACAGCTTTTTAAATGTGTGTGTGGGAGGAGAGGTTATTGTTTTGTTGTTTGTGTTTTAACTCTTTATTTGTGCTTTCATCTCATGTTTTTAATCCGTGAAGTGCCCTGAGATCTTTTGATGGAGGGCAGTATATAAATTGAATAAATAATCTGGAATGTGGCCCCAGGAAGGCTGGGAACACGACTCTCAGTCTGGGAAATGTTCTCTGCCCCTGCCTGGACCCTTCATGAGTTTTCTCCTTTTCTTCCCTCATTCCTCCTGCACTCACACACCTCCCTGAGAATGTTACAGCGCGTGACCCTGGAAGACAATAGCCACCATTCTGGGAGGAGTTTGACATCGCTCCGCCGAATGTTCCACATCAGCGTAAACATTTCAAGCTGGCTAGATGGGACAATGTGTCCCCTCCTAACCTTGCACAGTTTTCTTTGGGGGTCCCCCCCCCAAGTCAATTCCAGGAGACCTGGGAGGCATGTGGAGAGAGGAGAGGAGGGAAAGCCCTGTTGTGCAAGTAGAGAAGAAGAGTTTGGATTTGATATCCCGCTTTATCACTACCCGAAGGAATCTCAAAGCGGCTAACAATCTCCTTTCCCTTCCTCCCCCACAACAAACACTCTGTGAGGTGAGTGGGGCTGAGAGACTTCAGAGAAGTGTGACTAGCCCAAGGTCACCCAGCAGCTGCATGTGGAGGAGCAGAGACGCAAACCTGGTTCACCAGATTATGAGTCTACCGCTCTTAACCACTACACCACACTGGCTCTTTGCATAGGGCTTCTGCTGATGGTAGTCATAAGATGAATTGAAGAAGAAGAAGAAGAAGAAGAAGAAGAAGAAGAAGAAGAAGAAGAAGAAGAAGAAGAAGAATTTGCTAAAGTTCTCCACTCCAGAATTCTCTGATTCTATACTACCCTGAGCCCCAAAGCACCAAATTAAGGACATGCTGCCAGGCCATAAAGCCTTTTAGGGTGTGCAAAATATTTCTCAGAGCCCCTGTTTTCCAAAGGCCAAATGACTCACTCCAAATTCCTCAGGGTGCTGTTAGCTCGAAGGGCACTGGCAATCTCTTGAGCTCCGTCTTTGCTTATAGAGTTCTCCCGCAGGCTACAGGCATATGGAGAAAAGTCATTATTGCATCCTTATCAATGCCTTTGTTGTTTTTCACACACTGCTCTTCCCCAAGTGGATGGAAAATAGTGGGGAGGGGGGCAGACTTCCATAGTTCTGTTTCCTTGCCAGAGGACTTTATCCTAATCACATATGTGAAAGGGGGAAATACCAGCAGGCACCCAAAACAAGCAAAACCCGTTTTAATGAAAACCCAGAGTCTCAGCAACCTCATGTCAAGCCCACACAAACTAGTGCACCTGCCTCACCACAAAAATAAATCAACCAGATCTTCTGGGGAAGTTTCATAAGAGCTCCAAATCAGGTTTAATTGCACAGTCTGATTTTGCTGGCACTGGCAGAGGAAGGAGGGCTTGCCCTGGGTGTCATCCCTGGGGGGGGGTGACGTCACTGCCCTGCCCCCCTAGGATGCTCGCCGTGGCCGGCACCCCCCTGGGATGCTTGCCCCGCCCCCGTGGGGAGCTCACCCTGCCCCCGGGTGCACAGCATGTGGGTGCTGGAGCAGCTAGCTCCGTCTCTGTTTGCTGGTATGTGATTCAACCAATCCCACCCCAAAATATTCAGTCTAGGAGTGCCCAGGGGTTCTTCTTGTGCTGTCTATAGCAGTGCAGCCACCATGCTCTCTTTCCCTGAGTCTACTCCAAGAACTGTGGCAGGTGGTGGGGTTTGGAGGTGGCAAAGCATAGGCTAGGACTTACTTGAGGCTGGTGAGGCCTTGGTTAGAGCAGAGGGCTCGAGTGAGCGCAGTCACCCCTGTGTCGCTGATTGAATTGCTCTGGAGACTGGAGAGGCAAACACAGAAAAGTGGAAATGGGTGAGGGAGGGAGCCACACTGGATTTCGTCTTAATTCTACTCTTACACGCAATCCGGGCTTGGCTTTCAGTTAACCCAAACAAACACCCTCAGGTATCTTCCCCTCAGAGGAGTGATGCCAGAGAACTCCAAATAAAACTAAAGGGAGCAGAATTTGCTGACATTCATTGATTTTTTTCCGTTGTCTGGAACAGAAATTAATCTTGCGAATATGATTGGTACAGTATTAATATTGCTGTTGTTTTCAGCAAACAACATGTGACTTACCATTTGAATTGTCTTCTTTCCTTTCTCTCCTTCCTATTTTTTTATTTTTATTTTACTTATGCGTTTTGCATACCTTAGTACATCAGTTATAGAATTGTCATCGGTTATCTTACAGTCTTTGACTGCGTTTCATTTATATCAAAAGGAATGGGGCAGCATAAAGTTAACGATGACGTAACTTGCATAACTTATGTATTTTTCTCCCAGCAGACAGTGAAACAAATGATGTCGGCTTGGGCAGAAGATGAACTGCAGCAGCACAGAAACAGCACCGCATGCAGCAAATACAGGGCAGAATGGACAACGATGCCTTCTTACATCCCTACCTTGTGTTGAGGGAGAGGAAAACCTAAAAGTGTGTGGGCTGTACCTGTTGAAAGAAAGGATGCTGGCACAGTCCTCCAAGCACAGCCTTGGAAACAAGCTTCAGGGGCTCATTAAAAAAAGTCTGCCTTGAAGGAGAGCTTTGTAAGCCCCAGGAGGACAAAGGCTGTGGGACTAGGGAAAGTTGCAGTTTCCTCGAGGGCTGCGGCATCCTCCCAGGGTCTCTCAGACTTTGTGCGCCGCCACAGGCTCTCAGGGCAACAGAGATTGAGGAAGGGAAGCGGGGAACTCTGCTCTCCAGAATCACTTTGCTTTAGAGAACTCTCTCAATAGTCATTTTCAAGGAAAGGGGGGAGCAGCAAAATAAACACATGTGGGCAATGGAGGCGGAAGTCACTTACTCCAGGGTTAAAAGGGTGTGGTTCACCTTCAGTCCTTCTGCCAGGGCTGCAGCACCAGTGTCTCCAGCACAGTTACTGGACAATCTAGAATAGGAACAAAGGGAAACGTAATGTGTACCAGCAACTGCCCATTCACTAGACATTACTTTAACAGTAGGATTAGCAACCATGCCCAGGGCTTTAAAAAACTTTAATACTATGTGTGAGTGGCGTGTTGACTAACAGTCACATTTTGACCAAGCAATTTCCCCCAGCAGAATGCATTTTTTGCATGTGGTTTTTAAGGAATGCTTTACCCTAGCTTATTCATTTTTTGACTCATTACTCAGTTGGAGAACCGCACTGCAAGTTTGGGAGACGTGTGGGTTTCGATGGAACTGTGTTCTTGTACTGTGCCAGAAAGTGTGAATTAGGTAGGTTTGCCTTTAAATGCAAACTGAATCTGAAGTCTCCCCCACTCCCTGCTGCAGAGGCAGGATGGGGAGTCAACCCTCTGCTTTACCATGGTGTAGACGTCTGATGAGCAGCCTTTGCCTCCATGCTACTGGGCACTCTCTAAAGAGGTGCAGACCCCACAGTGAGGGCAATGCCACTGCCTCACAACCCATGCAAATCTGTGAGTCAATTCTCTCGGCTCTTACATCAGCTCCTTGAGGCCCCAGTTAGTCTTCAGTGCTTCTGCTATTTTCTTTGAACCTTGGGGTCCAACTGAGTTCTTCTGGAGGCTGCAAAGGAGACGACATCCTTAATGAGCAGTGAGCCGAGGGAGTTCGTCCCCCAGCCCTTTGATCAGCAGCTGCAGCGCTGCCACTTTAAGCAAACAAATATAATCCCTTATTGTCGTCGCAAATATCCCTGTGAATCTGGAAATGTGGAATCAATAACTCATGTTCTTATGAACTGCTCCTTTTATCATTATAGACATAGGATTTTAATTGAGTGCTTTCATGGAGATTCCCAGGAAAAAGATGCCTTTTATGGTTTTTTTTATTATTCCTTTCAGACCCGAATGGACCCATCTCTTCCAAGGAGGAGGAAGAAGAAAAGCTTATGCATGTAAAACTTGCCAAGGACTAATTTTAGCAAAATTATAATTTTGTTCTCTATGCCGGTTCTCTATTACTGATACCGTTACTATTACTTTTATTGTTTATGGCTCTCTCGTTTTGTTTTGCTTGGTATTATTTTACATATTTGTACAAAGCTCTTTCTTTGAATACTGGTCTTTGATTATTATATCCCAGCTCGATCACTGAACCAGGAACATGGTTAAGCATCAGCAGAGTTGGCAAAGCTCATCTGACAGCAACAAGAAACCAAGTCTTTAGTGTCATCAGCCCAGTCCTATGGAATGCTCTGCCAACAGAGATTAAGCAGGTGCCTTCTGTTTTAACCTTTGAATGCCTGCTGAAAACATTTCTATCCCACCAGGTTTGTGCAGGCAATAAAGCAGATATCTATCTGTTAGTTGAGCTCTGGCTCTAACTTTTGCATGGCTTTTATTGCATATATTATGTTTGTTCTAAACTTCTTTGAGATAGCCATATCTACAGTATACCTATATTTATATCTATTTAAATAGCAGTATATAAATACTTTTATAAATAACTAAATAAGCCAATCACACCATTGCTAATTGCTCGTTTGGTGTTATACCTGTTCTTCCCAGAAACACAATCAAACAGGCTTTAGAAGGCAGTACGTACATCAGAAAAAAATCAAATGGCATAGTTTTTATTGGATTGTACTGCAGGTCTGATGGGCTGAATGTTAGGGGAGGGAAAACCTCTACAGACAGAAACCTAGCACATCAGAGAGAAGGCTTTTAACTGAGCCATGTCATTGACACTCCCCTTTTCTACATGCAGGGTTTGTTGCTTCCCAACAGCAGGGACAGCTTCAACCATGCCAAACCACCCACCCCAATACCTTCAGCCCGCAGTGTAACAACCTGAGAAAAGTTTTTCTTGCTTAACTGCTAATTGCATACACAGGCCCTTATCTAGCTCTAGTTGAGATGTCAACCCAAACACAGTTTTAGCAGCCAACTGCACAGACTGTAAGAACAGGCACCCAAGAAGGAACAGGTGTGTAAACCATGATGCTGCCTAGCAAAGACCAGAGAGACGCACTGCAGAGTCCTCAGGCTGTGGTTGCTGGTGAGAGCCTCGGCCAGGCATTTGGCACCTTCTTCCTTGATGGCGTTGTTCTGGAGGCTGAAAGAGGAAAATAAACTCCATTACTTTTTCCAGCCAGCGGTTGAGGGGAAGGAAGCAACAAACGTTCCGACCTTGCCACTGACAAGGGCTTTGGTAAATTTACGCCATTCCGCAATTTTCAGGTCTCTCGCCAACAGTTCACAATGGCCTGGCTTGAGTGTTTTGCTATAGTTTAGTGTGGCTCTCCAGATGCTACAGGACTACAACTCCCATCCTCCTCCTCCTCCTCTCTGTTCATTGGCCATGCTGATGGGGGCTGATGGGTCTCGAAAACATCTGGAGGGTGCCAGGCTTAGTCTGCATGAGCTAAACATAATCTTACTAAGGAGTCTGAAAGCTTTCACTTCTGCTTTGAGTTGGCAGTGTGCCATGTTGTCGAGTGCTGAAAATCCTGGGGTTTCCCTAATCATTCAGAGACCTTTATTTTCGTGCGTGTGGATGAGGCCCATCTGGGCATGCTTCATGACTGGCACAGCCAACTCAAGTTTGGTATTAGAGGGAGCCTTTGTATAGGCTAAGAAGCAGCAAACTACCAGACAGTGGCATGGTGCTATATTGAACGCCATGCACATCTGCCTTCCCCTGTCGGTTAGAGACCAAGAAAAGCAAGCACTTACTTGAGAGAAAGCAAGTACTGGTTGATTTTCAACGAGTCAGCCAGGGCCTTCGCTCCTTTGGGTCCTATGGAATTACTCCGAAGACTGAATCCGAAAAAAAGTAAAGAAAGGAGAGAGGACCAGGGTTACCTAGTGGTGGAGGAAGGGGGTGTGGTATGTGTGACCACCCCGGGTGCCATCACTGGCGGGGGGGGTGACAAAATGAGTTTTTTAAAAAAATTAATAATAATTGGGCTCACAAAACTTTTTAGGAGTGACTTGGTGGTTTAGGCACCTGCAGGTTCTGCGTTGCCTGAAACGGCAGTGTGGGACTTGCGTCTGCCTACTGCCCCTCACTCAGCCGCCCTACAGCTGAGGGGGAGGTGCCAGAGAGGCTCGTCCCACCCCATAGGCATGGATCGACACGCCCCCGGCTGCAGGACACGCCCCCGCACCAGGCACCCAAGCGGCTAGCTACGCTGCTGGGGTTACCTATAGATTGCTCACCAAGGCCTCCTTTATACAGTGTCCCTTTCATCATGTTATTCACGATGACAGTATCAAGGCAGTCATACAGTGGTACCTTGGGATAAGTACTTAATTTGTTCTGGAGGTCAGTTCTTAACCTGAAACTGTTCTTAACCTGAAGCACCACTTTAGCTAATGGGACCTCCCGCTGCCACTGTGCCGCAGGAGCACGATTTCTGTTCTCATCCTGAAGCAAAGTTCTTAACCTGAGGTAATATTTCTGGGTTAGCGGAGTCTGCAACCTGAAGCGTCTGTAACCTGAAGCGTATGTAACCCGAGGTACCACTGTACATGATTCCCCCTTGGGCACAGGCAACAGGTCTCTCTGTGCACATCTCTTGTCCCTGGGCTGTCATCTGCTGTGCGTGGGATAAGAACATGAAAAGCCTTGCGAGATCTGGCAAATGGCCCACCTAGTCCAGCATCCTGTTCTCACAGTGGCTGCCTGCATCTGTGGGAAGCCTGCAAACAGGACCCAAGCACAAGAGCACTCTCCCCTTCTGTGGCTTCCAGCAACTGGTATTCAGAAGCATTGCTGCCTCTTGACTGTGGAAACAGAGCATAGCCACTGTGGCCAGTAGCTGTTGAGAGTCTTCCCCTCCATGAATTTGCCTAATCCCCTTTTCAAGCCATCCAAGCTGGCGGCCACCAGCCTTCCCAGTGGCAGTGAGTTCCACAGTTCCATCAGGGGCAGGTTCATCCCACTGGCTGCTGGTTGCTGATCCCTATTGCAGTGCATGGCAAACGCCAAACCCTTTAAAGCAGAACTTCTGAGATACTTACTCCAGCGACATCAGGCTCCTGTTGACCATCAAGGACCGGGCAAGAGCTTTAGCACCTTTGTCACCAATCTTGTTTTCCACCAAGCTGTCCAGGGATGTAAAACAAAGGTGGTTAAATGCATGTTCTAAGTAATATAACCCATTCCTTATTTACTGGACCTGTAACTCTATTGGAAGTTGCCTTAGCAGTAATTTAATAGTGCTCTCCTCTACGTCTGGTGTGGCCTGATAGTTATTGCAAAAACATATAGACTCTTGCTGAAATTTGAATCTGAAGAAGAAAAGGTTAAAGAAGGCATGATCAAATGGGCAAAAGGTTTTGGTTATAATGCACCTGAGACCCTCTGCAAGCAAAGCAAATATTCTGCCACTGATCTATGGCCTTCCCCACTTTCGTGGGCACCTATACATCTCTCTGTCTGGGGATCTGAGATCAGCAGGTTTGCTCCTTGTAGAAGCGCTTAAGCTGCTTTCCTCCACTGTGCTCTATTTTTATATTTGCAATTAATTCAAATGCAGCAAAATGCCACAAGATTCTGGTGATCTCTCCTACCACAGGAAGCAAAACCCTTGCAAGCACTACCCTTGGGGACCTCTCACTGCCTTGCAAAGGGGACTGTGCACAGCATTTCCTTTGCAACTGTAGCTCCTTTTATTCCTAATCAGATTGCGAGCTCCTCCAGATGAGCTGTTTGTTTATCCTGATTTGCTAGCACAAAGCTCACACAGAGGTCAGACTTGGTCAAGTCTTTATTGAGTATTCATCCTGATTTGTTTGCAGGTGTTTTCACACCTGCCCATTAATCATTCATCCATCACACACCTTTCAGTACATTTCCCCTTCTCTTTCTCAAGCACAAAAAGTCAGTTTTGTCTTGGGGTTTTTTTAAAGTAGATTTGTGGGGCAGAGCGATTTAATACACTTTACTTTTGCAAACTTCAATTTCCCAGTAAGCACTTGGATCCCTCCCACAAGAAACTGATGGCTTGGAGGTACCCTGCTGGATCTGGTCCCCAAGCAAGTGAAAATCACATACAAAGGCACAATACTAGTACAGTGGTACCTCGGGTTAAGTACTTAATTCATTCCGGAGGTCTGTTCTTAACCTGAAACTGTTCTTAACCTGAAGCACCACTTTAGCTAATGGGGCCTCCTGCTGCTGCCACGCCGCCGCCACGCGATTTCTGTTCTCATCCTGAAGCAAAGTTCTTAACCCGAGGTACTATTTCTGGGTTAGCAGAGTCTGTAACCTGAAGCGTATGTAACCTGAAGCGTATGTAACCTGAGGTACCACTGTATATAGCAACCACAAAAGTGCAGAAGGGCACATGACTGTAAAGACCATATACCCTCTGCAGTGCAGGAATCACAACTTTAAAAAATCAATGACAGATAACCATTCATGACCATTCATGACAGAGAACCTTCCATGAAGGAGAGTCCACCACCATGTATTTTGAGGTGATGTGTCTTATTCACATGTGGATTGGTAATTATAATGGTAGCTTATGAATGTTTGGTAAACCCTTATGGGGATTTTTTTTTTTTTTTTTTTTTTGCAATTATCAGCTGAAGATGATTTTCTGAAGCAGGGCTTTATCCAAAAGCCTGCTGTCAGCTCCTTACAGCTTTCTCCAACACAATAACAATATCTTTTGCAACTGTTTTTGAAAGCTTTGCTGAAATGCACACTTTGCAATTGTAATAATATTTTGTCTTTCTATTGTAACTTCTTATCAATATATGCTTGCTCATGGGCGTAGCCAGGATTTTTGTTGGAGGGGGCAGAACCTCAGATTCATATTGATTTTTATTGATTATGGGGGGGGAGATCCCCCCCGCACCCCTTGGCTATGCCCATACGCTTGCTACAGTCGTGTGCCCTTCAGCCTTTTTTGTGGTTGTTTCCAAGCAAATCAAGCATGAATGTAACCGCCAACCTAGGTAGAGGCAACCACAGTTGTCCCACAATAAGCCATAAATCTGTACACACTGTGCAGAAAATAAGTACTGCACACTTAGCTATTCTGCATCACCTGATTTTCTGAATCTGGCAGTCCTTTCCGCTCAACACACTGCCCAGCAGGTCCATAGCACTGTCTTTAAACTGGTTGTAGTCTAGCCTGGGCCAAATTATGGCCGGGGGGGTGGGGAGGGGCAGGAGGAGAGAGAACAAAGCATATTCTTAGCACATACAACCAGAGGAGAGAGAAAAGGTGGGCGAGTCATGTGAGTGTGGCTGAGAAACAGGCCATTTCTAGGGATGTAAGAGGAAACAGTTTTCCATTCTGCCCTGTATTCCTCACACGCAGCACTGTTTCCGCTCCACTGCAATTTGTCTTCCTCCCAAAGCCAATGTTATTTGTTGCACTGTCTGCTATGGCGAATTTACGCAATTAGCTAATTAATTAACTGTGTAAATTACGTTTTCATTAAGCTATTCCACCCAGTTCGTTTCATCACGAAGAAAACACAATGTGAATGGGAAAGGGAGGAACCCCATAATAGATCAAGTAATCTTTGCAGCCTGAAAGCAGCAACAACTGTGAATACCAATCACATTCTCTGGGTCCACTTCCCATTCTGGATAAATAAGCAAACATCTGCAACTTCCACTCCTGTTTCCATTTCCATCCCCCCCCCCTTTTAAAATTCATTCTTTTATTTATATTTTAAACATTTATTTACATTTTATATATTTTTTGACAAAGTAATAATCATGAATAAAAATACGCACCCCACCAGCGAGACCATTCCATTGTAACTATCCAACATCCCAAAATTTCAATACCTCTTTCAATGGTTTGACCCCTTTCCATTTTAACAGTACAAATTCTACAAACACCCTCCATATCTCCTCAGAATCATTTCTCTTGCATATTCCCCGTCTTACCTTAATAGCACATGTTAATTTATCATTAATAGCTATATCCCACACCTCTTTATACTATTCTTCCATTTTATAGTCAGCTTGCCCCTTCCACATCCTAGCTATAATACTTCGTGCAGCTGTCAATAAATTTGTGAGCAAGTCCTTCATAGCCTATGAACCTTCCACCTCATCGTAAATTGATAATAGCGCTACCTCTGGGCTTTTGGTCAGCTTTAACCCAGTGATTTCTGTTATCTTTCCATTTCCATCTGAATTCTCTCACATTCCTAGTCAACCTGTTTTTTGAGCTGCCATCCTGATTTGTTGGCTATGGCCCTTCCCCTCCGTAACCGTTATTCAGAGAGGCAGTCCAGCAACACCTACGCAGAGGATCACAGGTAGCTCTCCTCACCCTCTCCTTCCTGTCCTGACGAGTCCTGGCTCCCATCAAGCACTGAATGTGACCTACCTGAGATTACTACAGTAGTGGAGCTGAGAGAGAAGGCTCTGGAAAGCATGGTAGGTGAGGCAGTTGGAGAAGTTTGCCTCTTCCACACAAACCTCTGAGGTCTGCAGGAGATAAGCCAAGGCAGAGCAGTTGACCGGCGTCAACATCCCAGCCAGAGCCTCGCTCTTCATTGCTTCCTCGAGGCTCGCGACAACTTCCACGTGCTGAATCTCATGTAAACACCGCATGAGGTTGACGGACCTACAAGAGACGGCTTGGTCTGCTCCCAGGAGGTTTTGCAGGAGGCCAACCACATGACTTCGGTAACCGTGGTGCTCGTCTCTCGCCAAGAACCAATCAGACAGGACTTTGTTCACCTGTGGGGCGAGGAGGCCTGAGAGGAAGCGCACAAAGATGTCCAGGTGCCCATCCTCAGACTGCAGAGATCTTTGGAAGGCGTTTTTAAAGTGGTTGAGGAAGCCAAACTTTGGCCAGGACATGCCACTCTCCACAAAGAGGTCAAAAAGAGCCCGCTTTGCGGCAGTGTAATAATAGGTGGCTGCCAGGAATTCTTGAACTGTTAAGTGGGGGAAGTAGTAAATGGTGGAAAATGGAGTCTCTTCCTTAAGCAAGAGCCTATTGCACAAGCTAACTTGGAGAGAAGAGAGGTCTACGCCATAGGCTTTCATGTCCTGTTCGTGGAACATATATTTCCTCTTGATTAGGCTGTAAAACGCCAAGCGGCCTAGGCAGTTCATCATTTTCTTGCCATTGTTCAGCAGCTGGTCTATTTTGAGGGCTTCCTTCTGTTTCCCTGGCCAGTCACTACACAGCGCCATTTTAAAGTAACAGGAATAGATTTCTGACAAAGTTTTAGGAGCAGCCAATGCTTCTGGAGATTGATTGGCACTCCTTAGAAAGTACCCCATGGAGGACCCGCAGGTCTGGCAGAAAGCTGGCACTGTGCACAGTATATACAAAGACCTGCTGGCCTTGAGATGCCGCAAGACACCATCGGATAAGCCCTGGTTCTCAGCAAACATGTGATCTAAATGGTCTTTGATCTCTGCATCTCCAAAGCCCTGCACTTCAGTCATCCGGTCCACTAGACCTCCTGGGATCTGCGTGGTTGCCGTCGGCCGTGAGGTGATCCAGACAGAAACCTCTTGCAACAGATTGCCTCGGATGATGTTGGTGATCAAGTTATCCACCTGGACCTCCTTTCGGAGATCTGTGCAAACGACGGCATTGGAGAAATCCAGCAGAGTTTTAAACTGATCCAGACCATCCAGGATCAGGAGAGTCTTGGCCGTGTCAATGGAAAGAAAGCTGGGCTCAGCTAACTGGGGGGTTGCCAGCCGGATCAGCTTCTCTGCAGAGAGTTTGTCATAAGCATTCAGTTCCCGGAAAGTGAGAGGCAAGACAAAGGTAAAATCCTTGCCAATCTCTCCCTTTGCCCAGGTGTGGACAAACAGCTTGACCAAAGTGCTCTTGCCAATGCCGGCAACTCCAATGGTCACAGAAATTCGCGGGGGGATGGTGAATTTGGACAAAGGCAGGAAGAGTTTCTCCAAGGGGATCTTCTTGGAGATGTTCCTCACTCCTTTGATCGTTTCAATCTGTACAAAATCATGTTGCTTCTGCTGGAGATCGGTCAGCCCTTCCACCAGGAGGAGATCAGTCAGTCTCTCTAAGGAGGTTCCTCCTGTGCTGGTGCCACACCAGCTCTGCAGAGTCTCCATATGTTTTTGCACCATCAGCTCTGCGGCGGAAGAAGTCGGAAGAGGCATTAGAACGGGACGCAAACACCTTCAATCATTTATATATTTATTGTGTTCACATCCTACCTTTTCCCCACCCAAGGAGCTCAAGGTTCTCCTCCTCATTTAATCTCCACAACAACCCTGTGAGGTAGGTTAGGCTGAGTGGGGATCTGAGCCCTGGTCTCCCAGGTGCAACTCACTAACCACTATACCACACTGGGCAGGCTAGGACCCACCACTGGCACCACAACTGGGCAGAAACTCATCAGAACCCCCAAAGGTCAAATCAGTGGTGCCAGCACAGCCTTTTGTGGGGAAATGCAGGTTTTTGTTACAGTTCTGTTGACATAATTAGGGGGACCAAATTTCAAAGGAGGAACCTGAATCCATGTCATTGTTCACACAGGCATGGATCCCCAGGATGTTGGCAGTAGAGAAATCAAGTCTTTTTCTATCATTGAGTTGGTGAGCAAAACCCTCCTCAAAAATAATGAGCAGGAGGAGGGGAAATAAATTCCTCCAAATCTGGGGGAAAGGTGTTTCTACCTACCTTACTTATCCTAGCAGGACCGACTGCCCACTTACCATCCATCGGGGGTTTGCTCTGACCATCACCTGGAGCACCTGAACGAGCACCTGCACGTGGGGGATGCAGGTCAGAGATTCTATTTCACCCTGCTCTGTCCATGCTGCATGTGGAGATTCCCTGGGCTAGCCTTTCTCCATGGTTCTGATGGAGAAAAAAGGGAGGCCATAGTTTGCAAGTGATGGATAGAGAGACAGAAAGCAGAAGTGGACTGGGTACCTTCAGACAATGGTTTGATATTGCAATTGGACCACGAAAGTTTCACAAGCGGATCGTTGCAACTGGGTTTTCCCCACTTATCAGATTTCCCTCAGAAAGGCTAAATCTGTATTAAATGGGGGGATTTGGCAATAGTAGTTAGGTGGATGAAGTCTGCTCTGAGTAGCATTAGCATTGGATACAAACCAAAGACTTTTCAAGGAACAGGGAAGATGCAATGATAGCTGCTGTTGGTTTTTGTTTGCTTAGTTTTGCTGGTTTGTTTGTTTTTTATTTTCATTTTATTCTTTAAAAAATCTGATATATTCTTTTTTTCCTTTTTCTTTTTAAACTATCTTCAGTTTCAGATGGAGGGAAAAGCAGGGTTAAAAAGAAAATCCTTTTAAATAAATACAGAGTAATCCAGCTTCGGCTCATAATGGCATTTTACAAGTTGCATAGCTGAGTCATTCAGATACACATAGCTTAGATAATATATATTCCGTAACCTGCAGGGAGTCTGCTATGGATGCACAAGGCTGGCATCCCTCCCAGCTTATGACTCAGGAACTTATCACACTTGACTCGGCTGAATTACCTGCCACGGACGCTGCCCCACTGCTTATAAATAATTCCTTCAAGTGTTCGTGTGATTGGCCTCTGAAATGAGAATAGATCATGCAGTTCAAGGCATCACCTAACTAAATAATCAGACACCTTAACACTTTCTTATAAATACCACTGGCTTGGAAATGCAACTGAACTTTCCTGCAAAGTAGTTTGAAGTTGTGGGTTTTCTTGGCATGTGATTAACTTGCCTTATCACATCCCATGCACCCTATTTGCATTAAGTCTGGCCCCTTTGGAGATGATCTCATCTAAGTCCAGCAGTTCACATTATCAACCTCACCCTGCAGCTAGCCCAGTGATGAGAAAATGGGTTGAGGGGGGAAGTGGTTGTTGGGCAATCTCTCTCCCCAACAGATTTTTCCCTTTAAATGCCAAAACAAAAAAAATAATAAAAAAATCAGTGGGGGTTGGGAATAAAAAAAATTGTAGAGTTGGAAGGGACCCTGAGGATCATCTAGTCCAACCCCCTGCAGTGCAAGAATCTGCAGCTGCCCCATACGGGGATCGAACCTGCAACCTTGGCGTTATCAGCACCACGCTCTAACCAGAGCCATCTTTCCCATAGGGCTTAGTGGTGCGTTGCACCAGGGCGCCGGCCTCTCAGGGATGCCCCAGCAAGTGGGGGAGCTGTGCGGATTTGCCGGCGACCTCCCCTTTCCCTGCACGCCCGCCAGCTGTGCCCCACCAGCCATAAGGCTGGCGGGCATGCAGCTTCCCTCCCAAGCCTCTTCAGGGATCGCTCTCCCGCAGCGGCATGGGGGAGAGTTGCGCCCCCCAATGGCTGGCAGTGCGCAGCTATGGCCACCCCAATACTAGCCGTGGTAATTTGGGGACACTGGGCGGATATTTGTGTTAGTTTCTGTTTGCCACTGAGCAGCTGCTTAGAGTCACAGGACTCTGTTTACATTCCAGACACATTCCATACTGTTGGAAGTTTCACAGGAGACGAGAGACGGATGTGACGTTACTGGTTTCCTGTTCCTTTGTTCCTTTGTTGTTCAGTTGCTCTCTGCTTTCATAGAGAGAGGATGTATATTTCTTTGCTGTCTGCGTAGTAAGAAATAAAGCATAGCGATGTAGCCATAAATCTCATCACTTCTGCTGCTTTGATTCTCTGCTGAATGGGGGAACGTGTCTTGGAGCCTTATCAGAGGCTCAGGTCGTTAATTATTCGTCGGAGGCGATTCCGGAGGACTTGGCCGGAAGATGAGCTTTATCAGCTTGGCCGAGTGGAGATTCCGACAATTTGCACCCCGGCGCCACATCTGCTAAAGTCAGCCCCGGCTCTAACCAACTGAGCTGTCCAGGCTTTGAGCCCCATTATGCCTCATTATGTGCTCCCGACTATCTAGCTCAAGGGAGCGCCTGCCCCCTACAGAACAGCATCTGCTTTGAATGAAGAAGGCCCCAGGTTCAATCCGTGGAATCTTCGGGAAAAGTAGGAGAAGCCCCAGTTTCAGAACCCTGGAAAGGCACCATGTGCACATCAAGTGACTAAACAAATACCGGTATCAGCAGCAAGAGAGCAAAATTTTGACATACTCATCCAGACTCATTCTTAAAACACAGAAATGTGTGTGTCTTTACATAGGTTCTATATATAATTTGTTCCTATTACTCTTTCAGGGAAAGTACAGTTTCACTTTGTTTTTACATATTTCAGACTCAATTCCTAATTGCAACTGGCTGTGTGGATGGCTCTGCAAAAACGTGGCTAAGAACAGGCGGCTCCAATGTTTCAGGCTGCATTTGGAAAGTGGCTCCTTTGGCAACGATCCTGACGTGTTCCCTGCTTTCTTTACACAGTTTATGGAGAGGAGTTCAACAGAGCAGGAGCTGTGTGGGGAATCGCTTCTCACAAAGGGTGAGAAGCCTTGTGGATGCCAGTGAACTACTAGGACAAATTCAAGGTGTTAGTACTAGCATAGAAAGCCCGAAATGGCTTGCAATCGAAGTATCTAGAAGAGTGAACAAATTAAGTGAATTTGGATACGCAGAAGATATTTAAAATAAATTTAAGGAACTGCAGTAAGAGGGGGAAGGAAGTCAAGTTTTGAAATGCTAAAATTACTGTAAAATTACTGAAATGTATAAATCTGAAAATAATAAATAAAATAAGAGTGACAGGGCCTTTTCAGTGCTGGTTTGCCAGTGGTAGTAGTGGCTGCTGTTATTATTATATTTATTTATATACGCCGCAGACTGGGAACCAATTTGGCTTACACAAATTAAAACACAGATTCCTGCATTACAAGGTGTTGGAGCATATGACCCCTGGAATTTACTGACCCCTTGATCAGCTTATTAAGCTAACAAAGCTTGAGTAGTCCCCCAACCCAAATTCTTGTGATTGAAATAAAGTGAAGAAATATCAATATATAATCAACATTTGTTAATCATCCATCACTGTGATTAATGTGAATCATAAAATATAAAAAAGAAGGAAGTAAAACAAGTATTCCATCAATAATGATACCATGCATTTTATCATTTCTAATGAGATGGAATTCAGAGCTTCCTCACTGGCAAGGAAAGTGAATCAATATTGTCTGTCTGTCTGTTTATTACCTGCCTTTCACCATAAGGCCCCAGGGAGGGCTACAACATTTAAATAACATTTAAAACAATCTGAAGCTCATAAAAAAAATTCCCACCATACCTTATAAATTTCTTTTCCACCCCAGGCTCTTTCAAACTGCCCTTTTGACCCCATTGTCTTTATTCACCCCCTGCACAGATCCATCAACCCAGGGGCAGGCTTTGGTAATCTTTCGTAATATGGCGCCCTGTGCAAGGCCAAAATTTGGTGACCCCAAACGGATCGCCTCGATTTTGTGCCCCCTCAGCTCAGCACTCTGTGCAAGGGAAGCATCAGCACTGCCCTAAATTTGGTGCTGCATTAACCACTTTGGGAAAACCCAGGTATAAATAGACAGCTGTGGGGGAAGAGGTGGAGGAGGGATGGAAGAAAAGGTCAGTGTAAAAAAATAAAAAACAAAGCAAGCATCATGTAAATGAAAAAATGCAACAATACATACGTGCATTCTTAGGTCTGTTGTTTATAGAAAAAGTTTCAACATTTATAATCCCTGCATGAGAAGCTGAAGGCTGCATCTCTTAAGTGCAACTTTCAGGGAAATGTAAGAATGACCTGAGAAGGATTTTTCTTTCTTTTCCCCTTAATAAATTGGCAAGAGCCCATCCCAACCCTATGAAAATCAATCACACCATTTCCCCCCCTCTTACCTTCTCCACAAATACAGCAGGACTTAGAAACTTTAGGGAGCCATGGAAGGATAGAAGGAAAGTCGGTGGAATAGAATTATGGATTGATGTAATGTTTCTCTTTTCCCCCTTCCTTTTCTTTCAGCTTGTTCCTTTTTATTCTTCAGTTCTGTATTTTGTACTCTTATAAATTCATAAATACATATATTTTTAATGCCTCCGTTTCTTGCAGACTCCCCGGGGTTTTCTGTTAAGACAGATGACACATTATGAGCCTGCCAGCAAAGGCCACTGCAACCTGCTTCAAAGTTACCTTGTCAGAACCAGGATGCTTCCTGGGTAACTTGAATGCACTTGTCTTGATGGCCTGAATCGAAAGAGAACGTGTCGTTTCCAGTAAGACCTTCTATCTGTTAGGATTCCTTCCAAACATTTTGCAGTTTGCGTAAGGCAAAGATGCCTTTTAGCCTCTTTTGAACGCCCTCGGTTCAAGGAAAGTAGAATTATAAAGAAGACTGAGCCACGCAGATAACTACGGATTTCCTTGTCTCTGTATTGCTGCCGCTGCTGCTGTTTCAGTTGAGTTGCTTTCTTTCCGTCTCATTCTTTTTTAAATAAATTAAAAAATGCTACTCACCTCTTCCTGTGCTGTGGGTCTCTTTTGATCTTCCTTCCTGTTCATTTCAAAAGCTGCAAGACAACCCAGTGCACAAGGGTGACCACTACAGGAAAAAAAGACCTAGCCCACACTTGCCAGGAACTAGCAAAGCTATGAGTGACTGGCATTGTGCTACCAGGCACAGAGAAAACAATCTCCCATGCTTGCTCAACAGGGCATTTTGGTACCCAAAGAGGAAAATCCACACCACCCCCACCCTATGATTAATTCACATGGCGCAGGGCTGGTCCAAGACATTTTGCTGCCTGGTGTCCTCCCTATCCCCAACTCAAGATGCAATATATCAACAGACCAAAATAAATACATAAATATCACAAACAACTCTCTCTGTACCTGCTACAGAAATACAGGGGCGTGGTATTATCTGCATCAGGGGTAGCCAACATGGTGCCCTCTCGTTGTTGTTGGGACTACAATTCCCATCATCTTTAACCAGAGGCCTGGCTAGCAGAGGCTGATGGGAGTTGTTGTCCAACATCATTTGAAGGGCATCAACATTGACTGGCAGCAGGTCTCCAGGTTTCAGACAGTGAGTCTTTCCCAGCATTACCTGGGCATTCTGGGCATAACTGTCAACTGTCCCTTATTTGGCGGGAAAGTCCCTTATCCCAGCGCCGTGTCCCACTGCTGTCCCTTATTGATGATGTTCCTTAAATTTCCCGGGTTTCAAAGGAAGCAGCTTCTCTCCCTCCCTCCCTGCCGGCCAGGGAGGAGGGAGGCTCCAACTGTGTTGCTTGGCTGCGTTGCTCACCCAATAAGGAGTCTAAGAACGACTGTGGGGTGGAGCTTGCATGCCTTGTGTGTGTTGCCTGGGGACTCGCCTTTGCTCAGCGCTTCCCAGCGGAGAGGTGACAGTGGTTTTCCTTGCTGCATCCCCTTTGCCGGGTTGCTGTGCTGTGGGAACCACCACTTGAGGCTTTGTTTGGCTGCTGGCTGGGCTTTCTGCCTTTGGCTCGGGAGCTGGTTGACTAAAATCCCTTATTTTGGCTGCTGATCCCTTATTTTTGAGGCCGCTGGTCCCTTATTTTCAAATCTGTAAGTTGACAGCTATAATTCTGGGGGTGGAACCTGGGACCTCTGACATGCAAAGCAGATGCTACATAACTAACAAGTTGCTGTCTTTTCCTGGCACCTAAGATCTGCTGCCCTACTCTGCCTAATGGTAGGGACGAGACACAGTACATGAAGGAGATCTCCTGCACAATCCTCATCCATGTCTTTAATGATCGGTTTCATTATATTGGGGAAGTGCATTCTATTAGGAGGGAATGTTTTGCAAAAAAATGTGTATATTAGGCAAGATTGTATACAATAACGTGTGTAACAGGATAAATGCACACTAAAATATAGGTGCAGTTGCATAAGGACTTTGAAAAATATACTATCACAAACAGATTTTGAGATGTGGACTACTAAACATAAGACTGGAAAAAATGAGACAGACTTGCCCATTTCTAGTAATCACTGAACTTTAAAAACAACCTACAGTTTTGAGCTGAGTGGAATTGAATTTTGCAAACAATGCCGAATTTTGCATTTGTAAAATTCATACATACATAAATTTGTGGAGCACACACAGCCTGGCCTCCCCATCACATTGTCTGGACCAAGAATTCTAGATCATCATTTTTTTCTAAGGCACTGTCGTGCT